TCTGTCTTCGAATGATGACACTCACAACACCACAACACCAGACTAAAGTTGTTTCGACCAACCAAAGCAATATTTTTGTACGCAGAAGTATGATTAACAATCTCACACTTCAATCAACTTATAAAATGGCACTGTAAATCAATGTAAAGGATCCAACTCCTATAAGCCATATAATTATTATTAAAACTAACAGAGCATCTTGCATTGCACCTATTAAAGATATTCTTATATAGGATTGTAGAGGCTACTTTTAATCTCCTTCACTCCCTTGCTGCATGATGCTCTTTCATTCTCTGGCCTGGTATTTGGTGGTGGGGACAACTCTCGCTGTGTGAGGCCACATGTAGATGCTTGGACTAACTTAGGTGCAGATACTTGAATTCCAAAGCGTGTGATGCTAAGGAACAATCTTCAATATTCAGAACACAATTGGGATCTGGCGATGTCCGATTACAAAGATCTGAGACTTTCTTCATCCTCGGGTTTTACGTCCCTAGAAACGTCGAAGGTGTGGTAATAATCTCAGTCAGTTCGAAGTAACCAGACCCCAAGTCTTCAAGGATGCGATTCAACCGATGGCAATGGACCAGGTCATTCGGAGGTAAGAATTATACAGCAGCGACTACGTGAAAGTCACAAAGATATTAGATACCACCTCTAGAGGGAGGCACCATCGGTTAGCATGCAAAGTTCATGAGTCGTGACAACCTAAAATTACCGTTATGTTTATTTATCGAAGGTACTACTGCCCTCCTGCCCCTACCAAACCAAGGGGAATGATTTGTCAAAAGAAAAGTAACACTCCCCGTCCAAAACAGAGAATGTCGAAATGAACATACATACACCATACCTCATTACGGAATCTATCTATGAATAGTTGACATCCTGGCGTAATACTTAACATCCTTCACTTCCATGATCTTGATAACGTTTCCGACACCAATGCGATGAAGCGCAACGATCGAGTCACCCACTAAACAGAGCCTCCGCCTCAGTGCGTATTTGATGGCCGCATTCAGAATAACTTCTGTTGATTCCGAATCAGTAGATCTTGCTGAACCTTCCGCCAAGAGAGGAATTAAACCCCTGCACACAACAAAAAAAACAGATGTTCCAATACCCACCAATGTTACCAAAAAAACACAGAATCCTTCACCAACGCTCAAACCATTTTGAAAATGTAGAAATCCCTCACAAGAAATGCACAGGACTGCATACGAAAACGAAGTTTAAAGATGAAATGAATACTAACAAATGTTCAATACCTACATATCAGCTACGTGTCTAATATCCAAAATACATTGAGATATTAGACACAAACAACTCCATACAGGAACATTACCTGACCACTAAGCTGTGATGAGCTGGGGACTCCTCGCTGCAAGTCCAGGTCAGACTATCTGTTGTCATTACGGGAACTGCCACTGAAAGAATTGGCACACATGGCCGATACTTCGCCACAAGTCGGGCAGTAGTACCTCCGCGAGTCAGCACAATGATAAGAGAGGCACACACTTTGTTCGCAGTTCGCACAGCAGAGGAGGCCAAACTCTCCAACGGACTCATAGGCAGAGGAACAGACTTCATTGTCTCCTTGAAAATAGATGCATAATCCAAAGAAGCCTCAGCCTCCTGGCAGATCTGGGACATCACTGCCACCTGCACGAGGTATTCCGATCAAGCCTTGTCAGCCTCTGAAGTGTGTCCTCATTAAAAGCTTTAGAATCAAAGGTAACAATCGTGCACGCCAGCTCGACTATAGGCCTGGCTAAACAAAGAACTTACTGCTAGCTCAGGGTACAAGCCATTTGCTGTCTCTCCACTCAGCATCACAGCATCTGTCCCATCCAGCACAGCGTTTGCCACATCTGTCGCTTCGGCACGAGTCGGCCGAGGAGACTTGATCATCGACTCCAGCATCTGTGTCGCGGTCACCACCGGCTTTCCTGCAGAGTTGCACTTGTAGATCATCATCTTCTGCGCCAGAAAGATCTTCTCTGTTGGAATCTCCATACCCAGGTCACCTCTAGCCACCATGACTCCATCCGACTCTCTCAATATATCGTCGAAGTTGACCAGACCTTCCTGGTTCTCAACCTGCATTGATCCGATTCAAACAACACCCACAACAAACGGATGTGTTGATATTTTCAGTGTGAAATGCAGCTAAGGCTTCGATAAGATCTTCCGCAATAAGTTGTGAGCATCTGCGAGGTAATACTAACATCAGGATATTCAAATGATCCTGGAAATATTTGAATCCATGATGCTGAATAAAAGTCTAAGCTCCTCAAGATATGATTACACTCACCTTCGAAATTATATGAATGTTCTTTGATGCCTCTCCTAAAAGCTGTTTGATTTGTATCAGGTCTGACCCCTTGCGCACGAAGGACGCTGCAATAAAATCGATCTTGTTTGGCACGCCCCAATTCAAGATGTCATCTCTATCTTTTGGTGTGATGGTCGGCAAATCCACAATAACTCCCGGCAAGTTCACGTTTTTCTTCTCCCCCAGCATGGCTGTATTCTCACATCGGCACTTAACCACGCCCTTCTCGGCGTCGCACTCGAGAACGGATAAGGCAATGGTACCATCGGAGCACAAGATGGTGTTTCCCGGCTTCACATCTACTGGAAGCCTTTGGTAGCTCATGGCAATCATGTTCTCGTCTCCCAAGTGACTGTAGTCAGTGGTGATCAAGATCTCCTCGCCGCGCTTCAGTTGGATAGGTTTTCCACTTGCCAAATTCCCTGTTCTGATTTCAGGCCCCTGTCATCATCAGAAACGAGGTACTAGTTATATGACAGACATCGCTTCGTCCATAATAGAATAGTGAAAAAATCTACAAAGTTGACTATCATCAATCACTCGTGCCGGCTCATTCCCATCCATTTAGGCATGCACCGTATTATAAACAAAGATTGTAAATGTTGTGATCTCGGCGAGGGTTCGATGCAGATATGAAGAGCGCAATAAATGGGACACATGTCAAGTCACCGTCATACTAGCTAAATCAAACAAAAGCTTTTGTACCTTAGTATCCAGAAGGACAGCACACATTATTTGAGTGTTCTCGCAAGCAATTCGCAAATTATCGAGAGTGTACTGTTGATACTCGTGCGTTCCATGAGAGAAATTGAAACGAGCAACATTCATGCCGGCTCTCAGCAGCTTCTCCAGAACAGGCACCTCCCGGGACTTGGGCCCCAAAGTGCAATAAATCTTGGTCTTGGCGATTTTGCAACGGCCATCCTCTTTGGTCTCCCCTAAAATATGCGCAATGCTAGTCTTGGTGGCCATTACTGCCACAACTTAGGTCTCTACTCTCCTCCTGGTCTACGCTGCCCTGTATCGAGACCCTTCAAAGCAAACATCCCAATTTAGTCCAATCCTTCGAGTTGCCCAGCATGGTACATATTATGCAATAAGTTGCATAGTAGGCTCTTCAAAGCCACGGTCATAACCCAACAAAATCGACGTTGAAACAAAGCTCTAAATAACATTATCAGCGGGCTGAGCTTGGTGACAACTCCATATACTTATATTTAAGTCCACAAATATTGTAATACACAGCAAATACACTAACTATCCTCAACTTCAACTTAGTTAGCAACAAACTTCAACAGATGTCAATTACTTAATAAATAATCGAGGACATTTCGCTGTAAGTTTTTTCTCGACAAAGGGTGAGATTCTAAGCAGCCCTGAGGACGGGAAATGTTCACAACAATACGAACTACAATCACCGAAACCGTAATGTTCTCGGAGACGGTGGGAGGGTACAGATCGCATTCCCCCCAACACTTGCGCGGCGACATAAGAACTCTTCCGATTATGTGTATTAGATCTTCCGCATCAACGGATACAACTTCAGAAGCTGGGGACAGATCGCCTGACACGACAGAGTACTCATACTATATCTCGTTCAGTTGGTTCCCACCGATAAGATTCCACTCCCAAGGGAAACACGCCGTAACTCTCACAGTAACACCGCACGAGGAAACGACCGTTGCTTGCTTATGAAAAGCATTACAAGTATTGAGACGGCCCCTACTTTCGAAGCATCATACACTTCTAAATCGGTACTGTGATCGCTCATCTCCTTCGTCCCAAGGAAAACGCACCAATTTTTCTCACAACCTGTCTCAGTCTGTGTTAGGGTCAGAGTGACAATCAAACCACCCAACAGACCATAAAAACCCACCTTCTTCTCTGCAAATAAATCTAGTGTAATCCAAGGCTCAAGCAAGTGCAACCACAACTACTGGGTTTTCTCAAGCCGCTCCGAAACGCTCCGAAACTCAAAAGCTGAAAATTACAAGCACTGCGCTTGACACTGACGGTGTGATGAGGTGTAGAGGTGCCTTCGCAGTTTCGCAATGAAGTAAGGGAGTATTAAGAGCGTTAGCTGACTCTACTAATAGAGAATCGATGACGGTACGCGAGAGTGCAGGGGCATCCTATGGGCCACATGAGTCGAAGATGATACAGTTACTCTATACTGTGGAAGCATGAATGTTGCTGCGGGATGCCTGGTCTTCCCAACGACCGAGAAACCTCATCTCAGCACCCCATCTACAGAATCACGTGTCCCTTCGACTCTCTCAGTTTCATTTCCCTTTTCTGCACACAATACATAGCTAAAAAGATTCGCGGGGACATCTGCTCCGAGGACAAAAATTTTGGGAATCTTTCTCCTTTCCAATGTTTTTGAATTGGAATTCGTCAAAAAGCTTGCAAAGTTTCCAGAAACATCTCGCAGGTGCAGTGCTTGGACAGTCGCTACAGTGAGGGGTTTTCCTGGATACGTATATCATTCCCATTGGAGAGGGTGCCAAGGTGGCATGCCTTGCTTCTTCTGGAAGAAAAGGACAATTTAAGTGGAGAGTATTGCTTATAAATTCTCAGTCAGTGGCGGAGTCGAGTTCCAAACAAAAATGTGTAGAGCTGAGGCAAAATTTTATTATCAACTGGACTGTCGGCAAACTTAATCGAGAGTCTGACATCTCTGGGATAGTGCGTATAAAAATCGCAGCACTCCAAAAAGTAAACTTGCTTGGGTGTGAAGGAGGCCCAGACAAGAGATGAGGACACTTCACAACCACTATCTCAAGTTCACAGTAAAGGATCCTGAGGGTCAGCCTGATTAGCTAATAAGAATCAACCTCTACATAATGTAACACATGATCCGAGTTAAATTGACGTCCCCTGGCCCCTAACACAACGTATGTTTCTACATTGGCGGAACGGCAAAAGACATAGCTGAAGAAGACCGTCCATTAGCATACATGCCATGATGACCAAATCTTTCACTAATTGCTGGAAAATCGCCCCATCCTGTGTAGACTGAAAAAAGGTCCAAAGAATCGAAAAATAAATGTAAAATATGTCCTTTCTAGACAGTAGAGAAAGTATTTGTAGGTTCCTTGACCTCCATGATCTTGATAACGGATGCCACACCAATTCGATGAAGCGCCACAATGGAGTCACCCACCAAACAAAGCTTCCGTTTCAGTGCGTATCCAATAGCAGCATTTAAGATATCATCTGTTGACTCTGAATCGGTGGCCTTTGCTGAGCCTTCCGCCAAAAGCGGTACAAGACCTCTGCACACAAGAGCATGCTTGCTGAGAAAAGTGGCCCAATATCCGGGGCAGCATTGATCATAATACCACAAGAAATTTTTAAACGTAGCTCACATCCAAACACAACCAGAATTACACCTATATAAATGAGCACAAATGCGGCTCTATGACATGAAATACCTAACGACCAAGCTGTGATGAGCTGGTGACTCCTCGCTGCAAGTCCAGGTCAGACTGTCTGTTGTCATTACGGGAACTGCCACTGAAAGAATTGGTACCAATGGTCGATACTTTGCCACAAGTCGGGCAGTGCTGCCTCCGCGCGTCAGCACAATGATAAGAGAGGCACACACTTTGTTCGCAGTTCGCACAGCAGAGGAGGCCAAACTCTCCAACGGGCTCATAGGCAAAGGAACGGATTTCATGATTTCCTTGAATATAGATCCATGGTCCAAAGCAGCCTCAGCTTCCTGACAAATGTGGGACATCACTGCTACCTGTAACCAGTTATCAAAATCATCAGAAGTCATTTATGAGTGATTACAAGTTGTTTTCTTTGTGCACTCAACAGCTCTGTAAAACATTAAAAAAAAGTTTTGTCATTGTACGCATCGTCAATAAACAAGGAAAAGGAGGAGAAAGACTGAATGAAAGAAGAAAACACATACAGCTAGCTCAGGGTACGAGCCATTTGCTGTCTCTCCACTCAGCATCACAGCATCTGTCCCATCCAGCACAGCGTTTGCCACATCTGTCGCTTCGGCACGAGTCGGCCGAGGAGACTTGATCATCGACTCCAGCATCTGTGTCGCGGTCACCACCGGCTTTCCTGCAGAGTTGCACTTGTAGATCATCATCTTCTGCGCCAGAAAGATCTTTTCTGTTGGAATCTCCATACCCAGGTCACCTCTGGCCACCATGACTCCATCCGTCTCTTTCAATATATCGTCGAAGTTGACCAGACCTTCCTGGTTCTCGACCTTCAAAATAATTAAGGCAGGGTTGGGACACATTGTTAATTTTTCTACGGTTTCAGAAATATCACGACAAGAGATTGGTCGGAATGTTGATTTTGCACAAAGATACACGTTTAACAAAGTTCAGCAGCCCAGAAGCCATCACTAGACACAGAAAGCTGGAAGTAACAATGTAAAACAAGGCTTTCCGGAAATGTGAAAAAAGACATAAACAGCTTCTCAAAACTTCAGTAGCATGAAGGTGCTTACTTTTGAAATTATGTGAATCGACTTGGATGCCTCTCCTAACAACTTCTTGATTTCTATCAGGTCTGACCCCTTGCGCACGAAGGACGCTGCAATAAAATCGATCTTATTTGGCACGCCCCAATTCAAGATGTCATCGATATCCTTCGGCGTGATTGTCGGCAAATCCACAATGATTCCCGGCAAGTTCACGTTTTTCTTCTCCCCCAGCATGGCTGTGTTCTCGCATCGGCACTTCACTAAGCCCTTCTCGGCGTCGCACTCAAGAACCAGCAAAGTAATGGTACCATCGGAGCACAAGATGGTGTCTCCAGCCTTCACATCTACTGGAAGCTTTGGGTAGCTCATGGCAATCATGTTCTCGTCTCCCAAGTGATTGTAGTCAGTAGTGATCCAGATCTCCTTACCACGCACAAGTTGAATGGTTTACCAGCTGCAAGCTGCCTGTT